TCAACAACCGCTGGACCACATTCCCGTTTGGCCGGTCCGACGGGTTGTAAGTAGCCCCACGTCACTTTTATACATCAACAATCAAATTTCTATAAAATGGAAATTAATTATATTATATTTATGAGAGCACAACTTTATTATGATTATTTGAACGATTTATGCCAATTTATTAACAATTGATTAATTGGAATTCATTAAAGTGAAGTGCAAATGCACCAAGGGAGTTTCACAAGAATATTAGTGAACCAAAAAAGAATAGGTAGTTATTAATTAATTATTACTTATGATTGAATGTTATCTAAAGTTTTTCTTTAACTATATTTAAATTTTAAGATAATTATTGCGAAATTAGTCAAGGATAAAACTTACTTGTAATTATCTGAAGACAAGTAATAGTTGAAGATAAGTAATAGTTGAAGTCTGAGGGTATTTGTTGTGTGAGATGAGTGAATTGAAATAATATTAATATTTAATTTATTTTGTTTGTTTTTGACACTAGTTAAGCTTTTTTAGATAAGAATTTCATCCATGAAGAGCCAATATTACTTGGAGAACTTTAAGAATAAAATAAGAAAAAATATTAAGATAAAAAATAATTATGTCATATTATTTTATATGTCAATGATTTAGGTTCTATCAAGTTTAAATTAATTGGATTATATTTATAAGAGAATTTTTTAGTTTTGATTTTTTGAATAAATAATGTCAAAAAATTTATAATAATTAATTAAAAGTCAATTACAAGCATTAGAAAGCTTTGATGGGAGCTATGTTTTAAAATAATACTAGTAGACAAAAAAATTTCGGCAATTATTTGTTAATTTTTTTATCTATGATTAATAATTCTATATGCATATTTGAATGTTATTTAAATTTATTATTTAACTACATTTAAATTGTGAGATAATTGCTATCAATTTAGTTGATGACATAATTTATATAAAATTACTTGAGGACAACTAATATTTTAAATTTTTAGGTATTTGTTGAGTGAGATGAGTGAATTGAATTGATATTAAAATTTGTGAAAATTTAATTTATTTTGTATTTATTTGCGCTAATTAAGTTATCTAAGGCAAGAATTTCACCAGTGAAATTTCAAAAGAAATTAGAGAATTTCAAGGTAGCTTGCCACAATGCAATATGGAGCAAAAATAACAAAGAACTTGAGTACCTAGCTACAATGGGGTATCTTTAGCTTTGAAGCATTGAATGAATGGCATTGCAACGCTTGTCCAACAATGTTGTAGCACAAGAGACGATTAAATTTGATCTCAAACTCAAGAGTTTGGCGTTGCAACATTGACATTAGATGCTGCAACGTTGGAACATTGAGTAAAAGATGGAGCTTGATGCGTCATTGCGACATTTTGGAGCGTCATAATGCCGAAAGAGGTCTATTTATGCCAAAATGTCAGAGAGCTAATGTTGACAACACTCTATTGCAATGTCGCAACCCTACCTCTAGCACTGTAGTGCCACTTAAGGAGTTCCAAAGTGCGATGGCCCCAACCATTTAGTTTCACATTAGTTTCAAAGCGTACTTAGCAGTTACCTGGTAGTTTCCTAAGAACCATCTGCATGAGATTTAGATGGTGTTAGTGGAGTAGTGTGGTGCCTAAGTAGAGCAAGTGAGTGTTGAAGTGAGTGTGTGGCAAGAGAGAGCATTAAGAAAGCTAATGTCTTTGGCGGAAGAATAATACTAAGAGAAAATATGGACATTGGACTCTTACGATTTCATCCTATCTAACTTTTCTCTTATTTTTATTCTTGCATTGTACTGCATTTTCGTTTTATGGTTTGTTTTGTTGCAATGTCATGAACTAGTGTATTTTTCCTGGTTTTGTGGTGTAATCAAAGTTATTTACTTTATGAAATAGTGACTTTTGAGTGCATATACTATTGAAAGCTAAATACTGAAGACTTCTGAATGCTGAAGTGTGTATACTCAAATAATTTTAAAGATAAATACTGAAGAAAATCTATTGGATTTGGTGATACTATTAAAACCTATGAGAACCTAAATTTTTTTTGTAAGTTTTGTGACCCATAATGGCTATATAGTAGAACGATGCAAATATAAAAATGGGTTCTGGGTGCCTAAAAATTAAGAACACAGAGAAATTGGTAGATTCAATCACAACAACATGAACTTACAAAATTCTATGTATTGTAATTTATAAAATGTTAATATAATTATTATTTAAAATAATATTCTTATTGGATTTTGTTAATAAAAGAGAGGAACTTAATTGAGATTGAAGATGATGAATAAGATTGAGATGATGATGATACAAGTGAGGTTACACGAGGCAAGAAAGCAATCAATTATTATGTTGATCCTAATGATGACCCTGTAAGTGGACTTTTAAATTCGGAGTCTTAGTGCATAAGTCATTATTTGTTTATTTTAGACAACTTGTTTGTTCCTATTTGTTTATTTTAGTTTTTTTATTTTTTATTCTTTGTTTGTATGTTTTTTTTTCATTCTCTTATCATTTAAAACTATTATTTTAAACTCTTCATTTTTCATATTATTAATTGATTTGATGATTTTATGGAGGTTTATTTGTTGTCTCACAAAAAAAGTGTCAATGTTGCACAATTTTACAACTGCTTATCTCGCTGCTCAAGCAAACCATTCTCTACTTGGTTTTTCCACATAATAACTTTGATAACCTACTAGTGCAATATAAGCCTGATGGGATCATTGATTTTTGGTCTTGTTGATGAAATATACAATCAAGTTGAAGGTCTTGATTCTTGATAAACATTTTCTCTTACAACTGCGCTCACTAGCCTTCGGTACCTTCTAACATTGCTGCTTAACAAAATTGGTTCACATGCCAATTAGATGTTGAGAATTCTTTTTTTCATTGCAACTTACATGAAGACGTACATATGGAACTTCCTCTTGGTTTTGATTGGGGAGAAAGCTGTTTGTCGTTTTAACTAATCTTTCGACAGTATATAATTCTTCAGGAATTTGTTTGCTATCTTAAGCCATTCCATAAGTGGGTTACTAAGGGCAACTATTCAGCCTTCACAAAGGTTTAAGGCACCTCATTTATTGCATTTCTTATTTTTGTTGATGATATTTCCCACAACCATAGGTCTTCAAGAATGCAAACAGCTAAAAGATTTACTTCTCAAGTGCTTTCAAACATCAACTACCTAGAAAACATTATATGCTTGGGAATTAAATTTTTCTGTTCAAAAAATGGAATCTTTATTTCTTAAAGAAAATAAGCACTAGACATCTTTCAAGATTCTTGTCTTATGGGTGCATGCCCGGACAAGTTACCAATGGAATAAAATTTGAAATTCTCTTCCGCGTTGGGATTATTATTGAATGAATCAACTAAATATTGAAGATTGATTGGAACATTAATCCATTTGACCGTTATATGACCAGATATTGTCTATTCAGCTCATACCTGAAACCCATTTGATGCATGAGCCTTGAAACCTTATTGGGATGCAGCTATACAAATCCTCAAATATGTTAAAAAGTAAGTAGCAGTCTTACTTTTGCGACTTGAATTGGGGTGGTTGTAACAAGGAGTTCTATCAAAGGATATTGTATATTTTTTTTTGTAAACTCTCTTATCTCATGGAAATCTATCAAGAAATTTTTTTTTTCTAGATCATTTATTGAAGCTGAATGTCGACCTATGGCAGTTACATCCTTTTAGTTAACTCGGTTGCATTATATTTTACTAGAAAAAGTTTTGACAAGCTACTATACCATTACAATGTGATAATCGGGCAGCATTATAAATCTTTGCTAACCCCATTTTTCAGAAGTATACAAAACACAACTATCATTTTATTTGGGAAAAAAGGCAAGTTTGTTTGATTTGTTTTTCTTATACGCCCACAGATTTTCAACAAGCAAACATATTCAGAGAAGCGTTGGGGTTGGACTAAATTATTGCATTCCACGATAATTTGGGACTTCATAATTCTTACTCTGCAACTCGTGGCGAAGTTTTAAAAATTATTATTGTTGCTTTATTAAATTATGTTTATTAGTCTTCTATTTAGATTGTTAATATTTTCTACACGTGATGGATCTTAATGTATTGCCCAATGGAACTTAATGTCTTGCCTTCGATGTTGTGCTAATTGGTTTTTATTGTGGCGGTATATTATGTGTTATCCTCATCAATTCTCGTTATAAACTATTCACTTTGATTTTTGCTATTTGTTCTCCATGTTTTTTCTTTATCATCCTAAAAAAATAATTTGATGGTTTGTTTATGTAATTTTAATTTCTTAATGTTTCACTGTTTTAGCACGAGTCTTCCAAAAAGATATTCTTATTTGTTTCTTCGAAGTTGTTGTGCTCTTGATGGCTTTTTTAGAATCAATTACTTGCAATTTCTTATTTTATTAATGTTTCAATAGCAGGAGAGTTTTTCACTGGTGCACGCTTCTAATTTTTTCACTGGTGCACGCTTCTAATTTTACTCTTGCAGGCCAACGGTCAAACTTAAAATATAACTGGCCTTTAACTTAACAAGTGATTGTGCTTGTAAAGTGTGCACATTTGATCAATGTACTTCTTCGTTACAGTGTTGAGTCAGTTAAAGCTACTTGATAATGATTCGTTGTGTGCTTTGTGACATCTTTCAGCATAGAATAGCAAATAAATCCACTTTTTACTAGAGAATGCCCCTTTTATCTTGGTCCTATCAGCTATGTATGCTTCATGACTGTCGATTTCTTCTTTACACTAATTGAGTTGGTTAAAGCGACTTTATAATGAGCATTTGACATTGATTCGATGTCTCTAATGCGACATCTTTTAGCATTTCATGACAAAAAAACCCACTGTTTACTAGAGAGTTACCATTTGATCATGGTCTGATGTATGCTTCATGACTGTCGTTGCGTTGAATTTCCTATTTTATTGCTTCATGAAAGTGTTGATAAGTATGCTGTCCTTTTTTTAATTTATTCTACATGCAAAAGCTGAAGATCCGAACTTTGTCTAGTCTGCAGATAATGACAAGGAGGCACAAGAATTGAGTGGCTACAGGAGAAAAAGTTAGTAAGTTGACAACTCACCCTTTTATTGGCGAAGTAATATTGTTCTAAGATCCAGACTTCGTGAAAACTTTCCACAAATTGCATGTTCTTCAATGATCAAGTGGCAATCACCATCAGTTTTTTTTTTTTTTTTGGTTTTAAGACTTCTAAAATTCTACCATTTACTAAATGTTATTTGCCAGACACCCTAACTTGAAGCTGATTCTGTCCCATTTTTTTATAAAAGAATTTCTAATTTCATAAAGAAAAGGGATCTATGGATTATTTTTTTATTACTATTTTTTGGTTTTATTTTTAAGAAAATATGTCTGTTTAGTTTGTTTTTTTTACCTATTTTTATTCTTTTTTTTAAAAAAACTAGATAAAATTATTTAAAAACACTAAAAATAACTTTTAGACATTTTGATTATTTTTTAAGACAACTATTAAGACCACTTGCGAAAGTCATCTGCTGTTATCAGTTGTCGGCTATTATAGGTTGTTGTTACCCACTGCTGGCTGTCTCACTTTGGGCCACCGTCACCCATAGTGGTCTAAAAGAAGACTAAAAAAATTCTAAAAAAACTCGACTTTCATGAAAATCAGGTTAACATAAAAGTTTAGTACGTACAACGTAGTGAACCATGCTCGGTGGGAGGGAGACTAAAAATACATGCAGAAATTGTGTTAGATAAAATCACAATAGTACCTTCCTGTTGGACATGGCTCCTTGGAAGAAAAATTGCTCTTAATATACTAGTGCGCATGTCTTACACCCAGTAAACACTCAAAAGAAACACACAAAAATGCCTGACTAGGGCACAAAGCAAAGAGAAATAGCCAGGACATTAAAAGACCACCTAAGCACCGTAGTTCTTGCATAGCAAGCCATCTAACTATGTGTATGCATAATGTGTAGTGACTACTGTATGATTTTGAAGGGATCACTACGGACCCCGTCCTGAAGATCCAAGGGATCTAAAACGCTACTAGGAATGACATTTAAATAAGAGGCTTCACCGCACATTTAAGCTGTCCCAAACGGGGCCTAAATAAGAGGCTTCGGGACCCCGTCCTGAAGATCCAAGGGATCTAAAACGCCACTAGGAATGACATTTAAATAAGAGGCTTCACATATGACCTAACTTATATAAATTTTAAAATAGGGCGGATAATATAAATAAGAAAAATATGTATTTTAAAATATTGCATGATTAAATGCAGATTCGTAATATACAAGTGACGTGCTTTAGAGCTCTTGGAGCCTTAGCATAGTCATATACATGTTCATCATATTACGAAAACTCGCATTGCTCGCTGAGATATCCTTGCGAGCAATGCTCGTTTAGGTATTATGAATAACAAACGGGTCACTCATCTAATAAATTAACTTGCTATCTAAATAAACTAAGTGATGCGCATGCAAGATGCAAATAAGAGATCGCATGCCACGGTCGTTCAAGTGAACATGTGTGTCACACTAAGGGATTGAGCACTATGAATATTCCAATAAGTGCGAACATTCACACTATACTCCATAAGTCATTGTACATTATAGTCACTCAAGCGAACATATGTAGCATACTGAACTATTGAGCACAATATGAATTTTTCAACAGGTGTAACTTTCATATTGTACTCTAAAGGTGGTTTAACTCGTTACGGTTGCTCAAACGAACATATGTAGCGTATTAAACAATATGCAAGTCCATATATCAGACCGTATAGTTTGCAAGCGCGATGTGATTGTCACCAATTGTGACAATCACATGCAAAAGACAAGCAATGTGTGCTATATTTGCATAAACATGCTAAATGCAACATGCAAAGAAATCAAAATCGGTCAAGGTTTGCGGTCGAGCCGTCTGCAAGGGACAACCGATCGGTCTAACGATACTAGTTGTTGGTCAACCGATCAAATCGCTTGATGAGAGACGATCGATCGAACCAAATGATACCGGGAGGCCGTTCAAGTTGGTCTAAAGCGGGCAGCTGAGCTAATCGATATCGGTCGACCGATCAAGTCTTTCTGCGAGGGATGACCGATGAAGCCATATGATATCGGGCAGCCAACTATGCTTTACCAAAAGCGGGTGGCCAACCAATCGACACCGATCAAGTTGTTCAGCGAGCGATGATCGATCGAGCCGTCCAGTGAGGGACGATCGATCGAGCAGGACGATACTGGACACCCAACCAATTCAACCAATGATTGCCAACTGAAAGTATTGTCCTGCCCCAAAATCATGCAAAGTTAATCATTTTTATATGCATATTTAAAGAAATACTTGCATGCTAATATGAAAACATACCCTATCGCATTCTAATGGCGATCTCACAAAGAAAGGATATAGGGTGGGGCTGAATTCACAGATACCGTCCATCACACAACGTAATAGAGGACCTACCTCTAATTGTTTGGCAAACACGGAGGAACTCTTCCGCAAAAAGAAACCTTCAGGAAACTCAAGATTTTCCCTCATTGAAATAGTCTTCGCGAACTATGGAATGAGGATAAAAGGATTTCCTTGTTCTCTAGATCTAGGTGGCTTCAACCCAATCAATGAGGGATGAAGCCGCCAAATAATCGCGCCCAACGGATTGGCTCAATGTGCTAAGGATCGAGGGGAAAATCTCCAGGGTTCGTAGGGTAATCAATGAAAACGGCTCCCTAATCTATCAACTTCCTCTAACACTGAATCCTAGCCTTAATTCCCTAACGCCAGACCTAGATGACTTGCTAGGAATGAAATTTTGAGAGTTTAGGAGTTATCTCACCTACACAGTAGTTAGAGACGCGTTCTCTGGGCTTGCTTCGAACTCCGACCTCGCACCGACAACGACAACTCTGTTTCTTCTCTGATGAAGGAAGAAACTTTCCTCTACATGGAAAGTCTCAAGTAGCTTCAAGAAAATCTTTCACCTCTCCTTGGTTTTCTTCTAGAAAATGAGAATGCATGTGAAGGAAACTATCAGGAGGAAGAAAAAGATGAAGAAAATGAAGTTGAAGAAAATGAAGAGGAAGAAGGAAGAATCTTCACTAAGCCTCCAAAATGTTCTCTCACACCTCTCCCAAGCTTCTCCACAGGCTCTCAACGGAATGAATGCTGATCCCTTGCGCTCCCCTCCCTTGACACTAGGCTATCCATCCATGCATACTCTGCGATGTCCATGGGATCGACGCCTAGCCGTTCTCCCAGTGGCTCATCATCCCAAAATGGAAACAAATTGCCCTACCCTTTGGTTTGCGTCCATAATTACCAAAATAACTAGGTATAAGGATCCGTTATCATGCAAGCAATGTATAGTGGTCTCCCCCATTTTTGACTTACCATGACTGGCTCATATGCACCTAACTTTCTATTTCGGAGCATTATTTTGAGTGCCTAAGCTTCATTTCCTCTGTCTGGATAGATAATTTGGTCTTGGCTTCTAAGCGCCAGTTAGGCGCCACCTCTTCGGGAAGGTGCAACAAAGCAACGTTTATTGGTGCCTTGGGTGCCTAAGCACTCATAGGGGGGTGCTTACTTGCTTCTCCTTTATTGGGCGCTCATTTTTGTTGCCTAAGTGCACCCTCTTAAAAAAATCTCCTTTTTTCTTCTTTTTTCCTTTCTTCGTGGATGCTATGCGCGGAGGATTCCTATGGATCCCTGGACCTTCGGAGGATATCCGGGAATGAAAGTAGGCCTTCCCATTTCAGGGTGGATGCTGGGGTTGTGTCGTATCATACAAAAATTGCCGACCTGGGTCGAGTATGATCCCAAAAGTCAAAATACTAATTTTGCGCCCGGATCTTCGTAGAAAGACTTATTGATCCGGAAGCTACGGGAAAATGCGTATCACTAAGATATGATCCCATAACTCAGAAATGAACATTACAGAGGTTTTAAATCGGGGATTTCAGTGCTGACAGCTGGGCCCCAATGAGGTTTGCTCGATCTGAACCCCAATTTTACCGAAACGCGTGTGGGATCATTTTGCGACTGCTCTTGACCACGGGAGGTTCTGGATAGACATTGTATGTTCTTTAAACACTAAAATGGTTATTAAATATGTCCCGTATCAGAATTATCATCACCGAATGGTGTGCTATCCTGGGTAGGGCTGAATTAGTATCGATTCTGATTCCGTGCTTGAGGCACGTACCAGGAGGGCTAAACAAATTTCTTGGATTGCGACAGACTGAATATGGTCTTATATCTTTCAAGTGGACATTCCACATATACAAAATCAAAAGTGATGCCCACAAAACATATTCGAGCCACAGGGAAGGAGACCTACACAAGCAATGCATTGACCCTTGAAGGGATTATTATGGAGTATAAGGAGAGATTCAAGCTATTTTCGGCATGGCTACGACGAATTTTTGAAACAGTGTTGGAGGGAAATTTCATGAATGGACTAAAGCTGATATACGTGCAACACTTCATCTGCTGAGACCGCGAAACTTGGGAGAAACTATGAAATTAACTCAGTTCGTTGAAAATATAAATGCAATGGAACATACTAATAAGGGCAACACAAGTCGAGCGTCATTCCGAATTGCTACAACCACAGCGATACCAAAATCTTAAATGGTGGAAGTTCAGAAGGAGGCTCCACAGAACAAGAATAATCAGCCACAACTGCGGTGACACTTAAGAGCCTTACAAAGACAAAGATTCAGGAAAAGTGAGCCAATTGGTTATGTTTTCTGATGAGAATTATACCCCAAAATGTCTTTGCCAGGATCAGACTTTTCAAGTTCTCACCGTGTGTGAAAAAGAGGCAGGAGATGCATAAACAGGGAAGCCGTTGTGGAGGAGAAGATCATTCACTTTTTTCCACCTTAAGAACAATGTGTATGTTTGGGATGGGTGTATTGTTACGTTTATTCTCAAGGACATTTTAGTCTTTTATTAGCTTAAGGGCAATTTAGTCTTTTATTAGTTATTATTGTGGGCTATAAATAGGGTTGATAAGTTTAGTGTTAGGTTTTGCATGAGTTTGTTTTCTTGATTCTTACGGTTAGGGTTTGTGAGAGATTTTCTACGTTTCAAATTGTAGGATTTAGGAGATATCGCGTACATTTTAAATTTTAGGCGCTTATACTTTATTTATTTGAGTGTGTTGTTTGGAGTTCTTGCAATAAAATATTTTTATTTGCCCTAATTTCTGTTAAGAATCGTAGGACATTGATGCTATGAGTGCTTCTTAGATCAATGTCTTTGGGGAATACTCTATTACCATGATTCACCTCAATCATGCTATCATTCGTCAAGCTAAACCCAAGTTCATTAATCGCATTATAGAGCATTTAGAGGTAGTGTAAACCCACTTAAGATTGAGAAATATTACATGGAAGCCAAGCTCAACACTAAATCATTATAGTAAAATGGAGAAATTAACAGCATCAAAATGCTGCCAGTTCTCATCTGTCAATTCAGTTCTTAAATATCCCACTTCCGTCAATTCTAATTTTAATGTGCGATGTTTCTAGGCTTGATAAGAGGCAGGAGAACAATTTTTAGCCTGAGACGTAGAGAGGAAGGGATAGGGGGAGAGTTTTGTGGTGATTCATTAGTGTTTGAGCTGGGTATTAGGTAACATTTGGTAAGTATATAATTTTTTTTGAGTCTTTAGCTTGGTTTGGCTGCAAAAGGGGCTTCGTGTTATTTCGAGTGGTTGCGCCATGAAATAACAAAAACCATATATTTATTCCTAAATTAGCTTGTTGGCAATATTTGATAGAATACATGATACATTGATTATTGAACTTTCTATTTTAACTTTTTTTGCTTCTCTTTATTGAAGGTAGAGATTCAGAAATCTTTAGATGATTGTTCTCCTCTTTTTCTTACTAAAGACATTGTAGAATACTCTGTTTTTGTAACGTGTTGCTTTCATGAATCCTTTTTTTTATTGTCCACTAGTACTACAAGTCTACGCATAGCACCATGTTTCTGTGCTTTTTATTGATTTATTATTGTTAGAATGTTTGCTTTCTATTTGCTGTCAGGCAATAGAAACTCGAAGAATATGCAATATGGAGGTGAGACACCTAAGAAGAATAAAGCACCAAGAAAACTTGGACACTCTGAGGCTTGTCCAAATTTAAGGATCTTAAATGGTAAATCTGATGATGTTAAGGATTCTATTGTTGAAAGTCTGCCCTTTTGTGATCTCTGGTCTGAGGCAAAGATAGCTGCTGAGGTATTTCTTAACTTTTCCTTCACTTTTTTAAAGCATGTCTTGGATGCTGCTGAAAGTGTTTGTTCACATTTCTATTCCATGATATTTAGGATAGTTTTACATATTTTAGTGCTTTTCTTTAACTAGAATTTTGAAACTCAGCCACCATAGAAATCGTTTTTGAAATTTGGAGTGTTATATGACCTACCAAACGGTTTATCTTTGTGTGCAGTAAACAACTGCGCCTGTATAGTAAAATACAGAAGGGTCGATGCATAATATTGTCTACATTATTTTTCCATCATGATTCGTGTTGCCTAAAATGGAAGGTTAAATGATTATAGTTCTTTAAGTTGCATTGAAAGTGAAACCGTTAAGAGGATGTTGTATTTTATATAACCATTCGATTGTATGAACTTTTAAGGACGAGCTGTCTGTGTGGGATTTGTAGATAAAGCTTTAGAAACAATATACATGTGGGAAATTACCTTGTGACTTCTGCCTGAAGCACTTTAAATAATTATAATATAAAATTAACCTGTGTTTTGTGATTGCCTTGTTACTTAGTTCAACTAAACAAACCCCCTTGGAGGAAAACAAATTAAATCCAAAATATTTACTCCAGTTGAGGTCAATTTCTGATGCAAACTTCTTTTTTATTTTTGAAGGTACAAATACCAGTCATAAAATATTTTCATCATAGCTTGAATAAAGAACTATTTAGATATCTGTTCATGCTCATTTGATTTCCATTGCGTCGTTTCAGGTGATTGCATCTGCATGTTGCACAAAGTTAAGTTTTTTCTTTTCAAGTTTATCTGTTGGCTTCAATATCTTATCACAGTCTAGGAATAGCCAAGGATACCGTTATGCAATTCATTGGCTGCTTGTTGCTTTCTTGTACTATTAATTCTTCTTGTTAATGGTCTATGCAGCTCTCTACCATTGACAAAGTAGATTTCTCAGGTTGTAGGAACAGTTTTGGAGGTATTTAAATTTAGATATCTGTTCATGATACTATAATTGTCAATGCGAACGTTTGAGTTTGGAATCTAGTGTTTAAATTTCACATAATTTTAATAGGAGGCGAGGGAAATTTTCCTTAAGCGATGAATGAGGGTCTTTATTCCTATGTTTGGGTTCATATTTTTATTTTACATAAAAGTACTTTGGTATGCATCAGAAATGGCTGAAGTGGACAGTCATAAAAAATTGCATTAGCTTTTTAACATTAGGGAGGTTGCAAACTTTCAGTATGATATTAGAGTGTCAGGCTCGATTGAGAGAGAAGTGGTTTAGCCCTCAAATTGAAATTGGATCTACCTCTTAACTCACCTGGTCTGAGTCAAAATGTCCAATTTGGTTCATACTGGTCTATCCAAAAATGTCTTAGCATATCAGTTGCATTATGGTCAAAGGATGAATTAAATGATGCATTTGATAATTTTACTTGGGTGTTTGCTTGATATGATTTTCATGTATGAAAATTCTTTTATGCTATTTTTATGTAAAGAAGGTACGTTTTTTATTTTTTAATCTCATTAGGATTTTCAAGCGACCATGCACATGCTTATCATCATTGAGCTCAATTTCAGTGTCATTTATGACATTATGACTAATAATGCAAGAAGAATATTTTAAGTTGATTTCAAGAAAAGTCTAAGTCCGCTTTTCATGATTCTTTTTGCATTTCACTTCTTAGGTGACCACACACAGTCTCCTCATCACTGTTCTCAACTTTGATGCCCTTGATGATGAAGGGTTGATGGGAGTACTTCTCTGATGGAGTTTACTTTAGTGTTCAATAATTACATGTTGCACAAAGTTAAGTTTTATATTTTTATTATTTATTTATTTATTATATTTTTTTATGTGAAGTGAGGAGTATGAGTTGGTTGGTTGGAGTGTGAATGCTTTAGATATCTCAGGTATATTGTTTAAAGTGATGGTGATATAGTTGGGGATGTTATTAATAGAAGTCAAGTTTGTTGGTTGAAGTGGATGAATGCATCAAGCCTATTGTGTGATTAAAAAATACTTCCTTGGCTTAAAGAAAAATTTTAAAAGATGGTTGTGAGGCCTGCAATGCTTTATGGCGCTGAATGTTGGCCTTTAAAAGAGAAGCTTAAATCTAAGCTATGTGTTGCTGAGAGTATAATGCTTTGGTGGATGAGTGACTTGACACTTAGAGACAAAAGACAAAACAAATGTATTTGTGAAAGGGTTGGTTTAGCTTCAGTGGCATACCTGATTGGAGAGTCTTCTTAGATGGTTTGGTCACATTCACATTAAACGTTGACCAACGTTGACCATTTGATGATCTGGTTAGGAGAGTAAATGTTTTAGATTTGACTTATGTTAAGAAAGGTAGAGCTTGACCTGAAAAATTGGACATATTGTATAAAAAATGATCTTAATTTGGTAGAATTAAATGAAAACATGCCACTCAATAAGACAGTGGAGAAAAAGGATTCATGTAGCCATATAGTGAGATGAAGACTTATTTTTGTTGTTAATAGTATGAGTAAATTTTACTAAATTATTAAAGGGTAATTATATATAGAACACTCGAAATTATAAATATCACGTATCTCACACCCAAAGTTCAATATTTACACCTAGTGCTATCAAAACGACTTGTTCGCAAACAGCTCATGTTCGACTCGTTAAGCAACTTGTGTTCGGCTTGTTCATTAAGCTTAACGAGTCGAACATAAACAAATTTTTAAGCTCAAAATGTAAATGAGACTAACACGAACAAATATTTGTTCACTCGTGTTTGACTCGAATTGCTCGAAAAGAAATGAATAAATTAATTAATAAATAAAATTATAAATATACTTAATATTTTGCGATGTTATTGGTGCTATTCCACGGTGTGACATCGCGGAATAACACCAATAACACCGTCGAATAACAACTGAGTACACCTGCTGTTAACTCGTTTATATTTCGAGCTCAAAAAGTGTGTTCGTGTTCGGCTCGTTTGCTTAA